AACGACCTGCCTGCAATCCCTGTCTCCGGCTCTGCTTTGGGAGAGGGCACGGGGAGCTCGTGCTGGTTTTTTTGTGAAGCCAATTAGCGCACAGCTGTGAAGGTCACTATTGCCATGTAATTTAGTCCCAGTTCAAATGACAACTATTTCTTGATTATTTCCATTAGAGAAGGAATACAGTGATTGTAGAAAAAGCCCCCAAAGAGGAATCTTTTTCCAGTCTCTGACACTTGCAAGATTTTGTATTATTTTTTGCATAGTGTGGGTTCTATTTTAGCCACTAATTTTATGTGACTCAAACTATACTAGTTAACCTTTTGAGCTTAGTCCCTGACCTAAAAAATACACTACTTAGATTACATCATTTCTAAGATCTCTTCCAGTTCCACACTATATAGTTGTGACATAAAAGCATCAGGATGACAATTTGTAGGAGTTGCTTCTCTCTTGTTAACCCTAGGGATTGTTTTGGCTAAAAAGCAGGCAACATCTTGATGCAACTTTAGACAGGCAAGTGAATCAGCCTCCTGAAGGTCTGGATTAAAGAATGAACAGCTATTCAGAACCTTAAAAAACAATAACACTGACAAAAAGAGAACCAGCCAGCTTCTTTGGGAGTCAGCAAACATTAGCAGGGGCTGCAGCATTAAGATAAGAGCAGAGTAATGAGAAAACGAGTTGCAACCAGCCGACTGCGTTCCAGTGGTCACTCAGTGATTCGTCACATTGCTAACAGGGCTTGATAAATGGACTCCAACTGTTGAGATTTTTTTCTCCCTTAAAAGTTACTTGGAAAGTTGGCTTGGAAAAATGCTTCTACTTTGAGAAAATAACATAAAATCTTGCAAGTGTCAGAGTCAGGAAATAAAAACATTAAAGGGATACTTCCTCCCATAAATCCCAAATCAAAGAGCATCCATTCAGAAAAAGAGGGAAGATCATGATAGCTATGTCAAACAGAAAACCACAGAACATGCTAAATAAATAGGCTATAAACAAATGAGATTGTAGATGTAAACATTTATGAGACATACAAGACATTTACAAGATATAAGACAGATAACCCAGGTATCATCTCCATTTTATACATGAAGAAAAGAGGCTCAGAAAGGTATATAATTTGATGACACACAGCTAGGTAACAGCAGAGCTGTAATTTTAATTTTTAAAATATTTTTAAAATTAATTAAAGTTTGTATTTATCAAAGTAGAACATGCACATGGTTAACAAATCAAACAGTACTGAAAAGCATACAGTTGAACCTTGAGTAGTGCAGGGATTGGGGTGCCAACTCACACTGTCGAAAATCTGCATATGCCTTTTGACTCTCCAAAAACTTCCATCGTTTCCTGGGGGACTGGTTCCAGGACCCCTGCAGACACCAGACTCTGCAGGTGCTCAAGTCCCTCATATAAAATGGTGTAGAACAATGTATGCAGTCTGCCCTCTGCATCCGCAAAGTCTTAACAGAGGACTGGAAACACTGTCTTAGATCCACAGTTGGTTGACTCTGGGGATGTGAAACCCACATACGCAAAGGGCCAAGTGTATTTTTTGAAAAAAAAATCCATATAAATGGACCTGTGCAGTTCAAATCTGTGTCGTTCAAGGGTCAACTGTATAATAAAATAAAGCAGTGTTTTTAATATTACTGCCTTATTATCCTATGACTGTATTTCCCAATGCTTTCATTTGATTTTTTATTTTGGCAATTATGTTTTTAATTTTCAAGAGCTCTTTCTTCTTCTGTGGTTATCCCTATTGTTTTCGAAAGCTTCCTATTCTTGCTTCATGGAGGTAATGCATTCCCTAAGGATATTAACAATAGCTTTTTTGTTTTCTTCCTTTCCTTGTCTTCTCTTATTTCATTTTTCCTTGTTTTTTTAAAGCCTCTGTGTTTCCTATGGGAGGCTGTCATCAATGTTGTGTGAACCTTGTCATCCATTTGTGTGCACCAGCAAGATGCGAAAAGGTTAAACTGGAGTTGTATGGGTGTGTCCCACACATACATTGAATGGGACATATTTATACTAAAAATTCATTGTTATCTGAAATGCAATTTAACTGGACTTCTTATACTTCTATTTGCTAAATATGACAACCTTGAGTGTACAGCTTACAGACTTCTAGCTTCTGGGTGACCGCCCAGGGCTCTGGGCTCTCAGTGCAGAGACTCCTTCCATTTCACGTCACCCCTTCATCTGCGCTTTGCATCTCATCTGTACCATGCACTTTTCCAGGTCCAGAGCTCTTTCTTTTATTTCTCCAGAGAATAAACCTTTAGCCTTCTCCAAATGCAGGGGAAAGGGAGTTATTTGGCTATGTTGGTGGAAGACCTCGTGGGCCCTGAGTGTTCTACAAACTGACTTTCTAGTAATTGCCTTGTCTTCAGCTCTGAGTGTTAAATCCACTTTTCATGACACTTTTTGTCTCTAAGCCCAAAACAAGGTTCTGCAGGGCAAACTGACTTACTTCCCAGAGCTGCCTCCCTCTGTGGGTCCGACTCTCCACCTCTGCTCTGTCAGATCGGTTACCATTCATCAGTTGGCCTTCCATTTCCACAAGAGTATTGACATCTCTTACCAGTCATTAGGTGCCCCCCCCTTTTCCTTGCAGGTTTGTCCCTTAATTCCCGTTTAAATTTATTTGCCACTCAGTAAAGTTTCAAGAAGGAGAAGACATAGACATTTTGGCTCAATGCACCAGGTATAATTAGAATGCCAGAATAAAATTTAAACCCAGACTAATAATTCCAAGCCTTTCCTCCTTTCACTATTACCATGTAATAACACCTTCACAGAAGCCAGCAATACATATGTATGGCATAGACTGTCAGTTGTCTACTCCAATATCTCTCCTTCTTTCCTTTCTTAGTAATAGAAGCCCTAGTTTTTAGTTGGGCAATGATCACAGTCATGCACTGCTTCGTGAGAGATCTGTTCTGAGAAATGTGTCGTTAGCTGACTCATCGTGATGCAAACATCACAGAGTGCACTTACACAAACCCAGGAGGCACAGCCCACTACACACCTAGGCTGCATGGTAAACCTAAGTCACACATGCCGTCCCTTGTTGACCAAAATGTTGTTATGCAGCACATGACCGTACCGAATAAAGGTTTCCTTTATTCGGAAAGGAAGGTTGGGACCTTCCTTCAACTGAGGTACAGCCAAACCAAATGACTAAATTCTGGCCAACAAAATGTAAGTGGAAGTGTCAGGTGGAGTTTCTAGAAAATTCTCTTGAAAGATAACTTGCATCACCTTTTGGGCCCTTGTTTTTCTGTATCCTTCCTCTTCCTGCCAGCTGGGGTGCAGGTGGGCATTGAGTAGCTGTCTTGGACTAAGCTGGAAGTCATGTGTTGAAGGTGGCAGCCCAGAAAGACAGAAGTAGTCTGGGTCCCTGGTGACTTAATGTAGTTACTCTACCTATGGTAGGTTGCTTATCTCCAGACTTTTTCTATGTGACAGAGAAGGAAGCCACTACTATTTTGCCTCTTAGAATTGGATCTAATTCTAACTGACACAATGCTGAAGTGTAGTAAGATTTCAAAGGGAGTGACATATGATTCCTGGAAAAGGTGGTCGTAGTAATGAACCTTAAAGGATAGGTTAGCCAGGTGGAGAAGTGGAAGGATAAGATTCCATGTAGGAACACTAATGTGGTTTGGGCTCAAGGGGCACTGCATGTGGTGTTCTCAAAGGGCAGCATGTAGGCCAATCTGGTTGGAGCAGGCCAGTCATATGGGAGAGAAGTGGAAGGTAAGAATGAAAAAAGGTTGAGGACAGATTATGAAAGGCCCTGAAACTCAAACCAAGTTTAAAGATTGCTTTGAAAGCAATGAAAAGGCTTTTGAGATAGAAGTTGAGATACCTGTCTAGAATGTGAAGAAGGGTTAGGGTCAAGAATTTTGGAGTCTTCTATAATATTAAGGTACCATAGAGATGAAACCAGGGGAGTAAAGATATATAGAAGAAGAAGGACATGGGTTCAAGAACTCATACAAAGGACCAAGGAGAAAAGAAACCCAGAAAGGGTCCAGAAAGGAAGAGCAAGAAATGAAGCTGAATGTTGGGGAAGAAAAGAGAATAGAAATTGAAGTAAAAAAGTCAACAAGTGTTCAGATGTCTCAAAAAAGCTAGAAAATATCAGAAGTGAATACAGAGCACTGAGTTTGGGGGCAAGGAAGTCTCTGGTGACTTCTGAAAGTACAATCTGGTAGAATGTGAGAGTGGATACTGCTCTCGAAGGTGAAAATGGGCATTAGGAAAACAAGGGTACTCATGTGCTCCATTTACTTTAAAAGGTAATCAGTAAGAGAAAGATGAATTGAAAAGCAATTACAGATCTCCATGGGATCAAGTGAAAGAATTTTTTAAGGAAGGGAAGTTGTTTGGTCTTGAAGAGGAAACTGCATTGCAGCAAAGGAAGAGATTTCCTGGCTCCTGAAAGAGGTGGCGCCTGATGGAGCAGGTCTCAGAGCAAGTGGGAGGGATGGGATTTCCAGCTCAGATAGAGGCCTACAACTGAGGAAAAAAAGAGCGGGGGCAGCTTTCTGAGAAAGAGAGGTAGAGGAAAGGCAAGAAATGAAGGTTTGGATTTCTAGTCAACCTTTCAGCAACAAATCTTTTTCATTAGCGTCATCAGTGCCATATAGATCTGAAGAGAAATAATGGGCTAAATAAAAGAGCAATGTGGGTCAGTCTCTAAAATGAACATGGCCATCACTTAGTTTCAGAGTCAAGAGTCCCAAACAGGGATCACAGAATGGAAGAAAGCTATAAATCTCATGAGTGCAGCCCTGATTTTCTTCTCTTACAGACACCTTGTTAATTAATTTCATTAGTTGAAGGGAAAACCACAGGAAAAAAGTTTAGGTCATTTACACATTGATTGCAGTGCTAGACCAACAGGCAACCCCCAAAATGGGCCTGAAAATTAATTACAGGATGAAACTTAAGATATCTATTTGTCAAATAGATCAAATGCCAATACCTACTCGAAGTACAGCGTGAGGTCTGTGGCCAGTATTGACTGCTTCAAGAGCTGCATGAGGTCACTGTATTCCTTGGAGGACAAATTAGCAAAGATGTTGTGGCCCTGTAACAAGGAAGTAAGAAGTCACACACACACACAAAAAAACACTGAATCTGAGTTGTTGATTACATGTTTTTTATATACACACACACACACACGAACATGGTAAAACCATTTTTAGAAAGCTTAATGAAATGGTGTGCACATACAAACGGAATCTCTGGCAAACATAGCAAAGCCAGAAAGCACAATCATTTTGAGGAGGACTACCAAAGGACACATATGACAGAGAAAACTCTAAATAATGTTTGAACTTGTCTACTATGGGTACGTTTGTACCAACAACTTCATTTGACTCTCCATTTCCAGTGGAATTACTGAATGTAGAAGTTAACAGACATTTGGGAATCTCTAAGGCCCTAAAATAAATACTAATTTCATAAATTAAGGCTTAAGTTGGAATTTGGAAGTACTTGCTATAGCAACATATGACTTCAAGGAGAAAAAACACTAGACCAGTAGTTGTTAACTGGGGGTGATTTGGTGAGTGGGAATGTCTGGCGATGTTTAGGGACACTCTGGGTTGTCACACGGATGGGGGTGGCGCTACTGGCGTGTAGTGGGTGGAGGCCAGGGATGCTGCTGAACACCCGACAGTGCGCGGGACAGCCTGCACAGCAAGGGTGAGCCTGGCTCAGCATGCCACAGTGTCTGACCTCAAGAAACCCTGTGTTAGACTGTGAAGATCCATCCTGGTGAAGCGTGCGGCAGGTTAAATTCAGTACGTCATTCCCGGACAGCTAGAATGTACATGATATTGTTCTTGGGACTGTAAAGATGACTTTCATCTGGGAAAACTTGCAGACACACCTGCAGCTCCAGGCCTTTGAAAAGCCCTCTTCGTCAAATTCTGTTCTAGCCACACTGGCAGCTCTACAATGTTTGTAGTGAAGCGAATAACCCTTTTGTAAAGTGACTGACAATCCACTTAATTTGCTTTGAAAGTCAAGACTTCTCATTTATCAGGTTTTCTTAGTATGAAATATGAACTCATAAACATAGCTTGGGAACTGGGCCATTTTAAACCCAGCTTGGAGAGCCAGAAGATGGTGCAGAAGGAAGGGGCAGAATGACTGCCTGAGAATAAACTCTTCTCCAACAAGAGGTAAATTAATTCTTTCATGGAACCAGAATATCAATTAGTAAATTACTGCCTACAAGGCACCAGATGATAATCTGCTCCTCTGAGTTAATTTATCTCATTGGGTAAACCTGCCACTCCTTAAAGACTAGAATATATTAGTTCCACATGGGACCCGGTCCAATATTAATAATAAGTTTCAAATGAAATCTTCTAGACCCCTAATTCAGCCATTAGGAAGAAGACAAGTAACTAAAGGAATGCCACACTATAACTCTGCCTGGGTTTCTTTGCCTGAGCCTTGTCCTCAGATCAATTACAGGCTGGTGCACTGGGGCCTGGGAACCAGTAGGTGCAAGCTAAGGCAAAGTAGCTGCTGGGACCCAGCCACAGGTCCAGTATCTCCCAGTGAGAGAAGTACAGGCACTCTTCATTTTATTGTGCTTTGCCTCATCGTGTTTCACAGATGTTGTGGTTTTTATTTTTACAAACCAAAGGCAAGACCCTCTACCAGCAGAAACGTTGCAACTCGCTTTATTGAGTTGCCTGGAACCAAACCCATGATATCTCTGAGGTCTGCCTGTAGAGCTGTTAGGAGCAAGTTAGAGTAAAACTAATGTGAGGTCTAGGAGAAAAGTGGTCTGAATGTGAGGATCTTGATTATTTTTCGAGAGTGCATCTTACTAGTATTTTCAAAGGATGTATAGTACCTAACGCAGTGTACTGCTAACAGAGTGACAATGCTAGCCAGATGAGCTTCCATCCTTAATTTGCAATCAGTGAATTGTTTACATGCAGACTGGCCTCCTCCCGTGCCTCAAGAGCTTGGTCCCTGAAATGGATTTGTCTCTCTAAAACACTGCTTTCATTCATTTAGGGAGAAGGTAGGTATTGATGGAAAGAGAACCAAGTGCTGGGAGAGAAGTCTGGGGTGGTTTTGTCGAGCCATCTAACCGCTCTGTGCCTGCTTCATTGGGAAAATTGGGTGAGAATGCCCCCTGCGTTTCCGCCCCTCTGAGGGTCAGGACAGAAGGGGACGGGGAAGCGCCAGAGCAGGGCCTGCAGCACCATTTGCCTCCCGCAGAGTAATAACATCATCATTATTCTGTGTTCTTCACAGAGAACTGTGGGACCCCCAGGGTATTTTATTTGTAGGAAGACAAATTCTGAGCTAGTGGGGTTTGTTTCCCTAAACAAACAGATGACCTGAGAAAATCTGACACCCTGTTATACTCCCTGTTATTACAAAGGTGGAGGTCCGGGTTGAGTCACAAACCCATCCTATGACTAGTGCAGAAACGGTAGCCTGAACCCCAGTTCCTCCTGTCCCACTTCCCTTCCCACAGCACTGGGCTAAAACCCATTTCCCGGGGAACCCCTGAGCCCCGGGTGCTGGGGTGCTAGTTTCTGTCAGAGTTACCCAGGGCCTGACCCTGGATGTTTCCCTCGTCCAGCTGAAACCCCAGCTCCCCGGCGGCTCGCCCTTCCCCAGCCGCAGTGCCGACTGTCCTTTATGGGGTCGAACAAGGCCTTCATGAGACTGCAAAAGACATGCTTTCTCAAGATAAGCTGGAGGAAAAAAACCTCCATATTTAATGATGCTATTCCAGCAAAGCAGGGCCTTAATGATGATAATAATAATAATTAATGGCACAACTAGAGAACTGACAAATAATGAGGAACAGATGATCCTTTCCTGGCCTCACCAACAAAAGTCTGTACGCCTGCAGAAAATTAAACAGATCCTTTCCTGGCGATTGCAAACTCGTACACGTCTCCGCCAGAGTCAGTAACTGGTTCCTTTCTCCTTGGGGAGCTAAAACTATACAAGTACTTCCAAGACCTGCAAACCCCAGTGCAGCAAAACGAGGTGCATGGCCTCAGCCCTGGGTCTCAAGTTTGCTGCCATTCTCCCTTTCAAACTGGTCCCACCTGCGATTTTAAGGTTTTGTGTTTTTATAGATGTCTCAATTGTGCTAGTAAAGTATAACTTTCTCACCCTGTTTCTGTTCCAACCATCTTTTAAAGCGGCTTTGGGTTTCACCATATGGGAAGGTTGGGCCACTCGCTACCTGGATCCGATCTCTGTGTTTAGTGGGCTTCTGCGCCCCTGAGGAGGGTGAAACAGGCTCGAGGCCTCTCGGCTGCTACGTGAATCTGGAAAACCTCCGAGCCAACAATGAAGCCCAACTGAGTCGGCTCAGGAAGAATTTGAACAAGGTCCTTGGTCAGATGTCCAAATGAATTTTAAAAGCCACCAAAAATGTACAATAGTTTGGCTTAAAAAAGCTTGTTCCACCTCTTTGTGTCCAGCCGCGGCACTACACAGAGAGGGTAGGAACGAGGCTTCATTGGTTTCCCGTTGAGGGAGGGGAGAAGCGGAGCTTAGTATAACATCTCTACTAAACGGAGCGCGAGGGCGTACCTCGCTTTGGAGGATCATCACGGCGTGGTTGAAGTGGTGGTGCTCCAAGGTGGCCGAGGTGCCGTAGAGCTGGGCCAGGGCAGAGCCGCTCCTGAAAGAGGACAGAAGGGTCAGTGACCAGGACCCTTTACCTGTCGACAATGCCCCTACACCAGCTCTTTGGATCAAACTGCTTTTCCGGCTTTGGCAAAGGACCACGAGCAGATACATTCACAAGTCACTGCTTGTGTCAGTCATTAACCAATTACTAGGCAAACCGTTTGGGAACCTTCTATGTGTTAGCCTTGATGCTGCGGATGGTACAATAGTGAGTACGACACAGTCCCTGACTCTCAGAAATCCACAGATGAATAAGGGAGATGAGATGTGGTCGTAGGGAAACTAAGGCACGTGACACAGCAGAAACACCACAGAAAATGTTCCAGGTTTAGTCAAAGGGTTTCAGGCGATCTGAGGACAAGAGGCATAATTTCTGGCTCTGGGGATGAGGGTAGACTTCATGGACTAAATTTTACACAGCTTTTGAGTGTCCAGAACAATGGTCTTATACTGAGTGTATTTGACTCTCCATGGGAAAAGACCTTGTGGATATTTTGCATTTAATCTACTTTACAGGCAAGGCTGACAAGCTTATACCATGGTTTTCTAGCCCAGAGGCATGCTATGATAGCTCAGTGTAGACCTCTGGAAAGTTCCCTGGATTTGGAATCAAACCTCAGCTCTTGATCATAGATAGCATGGGGCAGTTACTCGATCATGTTAAGACTCAGTTTCTTTGCATCTAAAATTATGATATTATCTACTCACATGTCATTTATGAAAATACAACTAAATACTTAACAGTGCCTATCAGTGCCTGTCATGTAGCAGATTGTAGTTGATATTAATTATTAATTAATAATTAAAACACAAAGATATTTCCATTGTAAATAAATAAAATGTGAACTGAACTTGAAGGGATTATTTTGAATTATCTTAAAATTTTACTTATGTATAATAACTTGTTCCTCAACCATTTCAGTTTGGCCAAGTGTTCCTTTAAATGCTCGAGTGTGCTCATTTCCAGTTCTTTTGGAGTGGGACTTAGAGCATCTAAAGGGTCAAGAGAGTTCCAGAGAATCCTAGGATTTAAAGCACAGTAGTGGGATTCAGCTGAGGACCCATCCAGGTCCCAGGGTTCTTTCTTGCTCACTGCCAAGAGCTTGGACTTCGAGAAGACAACTTGGTCTTAACTTGGAAGCACTGGGGACTGGCGGCTCATGGTCTGCCCCGCTAGTGGAAGGAGCGCAGACTGCACCAAAGGGCAATGTGGCGCACTCCGACATAAGCTGTCCCCCATCTCCAGTGGGAGGCAGTCCCAGGGCATGGCCAGTTCAGGGGTGCCTTGAAAGACTCAGGGCTGAGCACATATTGGAAAAACACAGCGCGGTGAAGTTCTATAGAGATTGTTATGAATAGGGTTAGTAAAGAGGGTGCGGAGATTTTAATCAGGCGTGTGTTATTTCTTCAAATCTTGTCTTAATCTATATCATTTAATAAGTGAACATTTGTTAGGCTAATCTTAGTAACCAGTGATTAATATTTAATGTTAGATGTTATTTTTTAAACGTAGAGTTCATTTTTATGAAAATATATTTTTCAAAAAGCACAATGTATTGTGTCTTGACTATATTTGTCTTGACCTTTAAAATTCTAAGATACTTCAAATTTACATGTGCTATTCATAGCAAGTTTATATGCATATCACATCCAAATGCTTTGCATGGAGTATGTGCTTAAAAATAGTATTAGCTGCTTAGCTAATAAGCACACAGTGGTATGTCCAGAGAGTCTAGTTAAAATTGGAAGGTTTGCAGTAATAAGTGTGATAACATGTTTTATAATAGTGTTATTAACATTATTTGCTATCATGAGTAAGTACCTGCTGTATTTTGCCATGTACAACATGCACCCATGTTTTTGGTCCCAGCTTTCAAGAAAAATACTTTTGTTTCAATTTTTTAATTCAATATTTATTTATTTATATTTAGATACTTGTTTTTTGCATTATAAAAGAATTTTAGCATTTATTTTTCAACATACAGATATCGTTATTGTTTTCTAGAGTTACACTTTTAACACATAAGCATAAAGTACAAACATTTATATAGATATATAATTAGTTCTACCTATGTATAATGTGCATCCTCATTTTTCCCTCAAAAATTTGGGCAAAAAAGTGTGCATTATACATGGTAAAATATGGTGTATGCACTAGGGAACAAATTCGCAACTTAATAGTTATTTTATCTAGCCCTGACAACAGCCATGAAGTAGTGTTGCCTTTTCATTTTACAGATGAGGAAAACCAATGCTCAGGGAAGTTATGTTATGTTTCCAAGGTGAGAGAGCTAGTAAGTACAAGTTCTGGACTGGAATCCAAGTTTGTAAGCTTCTTCTCATCACATAATTAGAAAGCTAATTATAACTTGCACATTTCTGATATTTGATTGTCGGGGTTTGGTAAGTTGGTTGTCATCAGTAAAAGACTGCAAACTTGAATTCAGAATTCTACTAGTATAACTGCTACCCACGGGCTCAGGCCCCTGTGATTCATGTCCACCAGTCAGCCGTGCCCAGCTGTGCCTGTACTGGTGAGGATCCTGGTAACAGGGTCAGTGACGTGAAGTGGGGTCCAGATGCAAAATGCTGTCTCTTCCTTTATCGTGTTGGTTTAGTAGACCTTGCAAAGTTAAATCAGCTAGATGATCATAACCACTTTGCATTTTCTTTTTTCAGTATGAGTAGTATGTTTCCTCCTTTAACCATGGAACAGCTTATAACAAATACCCTGGAGCCTCCTATACTGCACCTCCCCTCTTCCCAAAGTCCACACAGCTCCCAAACTGCTGCATTCCATCAGAAGGACTCCCAGGGTGTTGGTGCAAATGCAGCCATCCAACGGTCTATGGTTTGGGCATCTTCATCATCAGACTCCCTCTTTGCTCCCTTTTACAATTCCATCTTACATTATCCTCCCTCCATGCACACATGATACTGAGCTAATCACTACAATGTGTAGATTTTGTAACTGAACCAGATCAACGCTGTGAAAATGCTGTGAAGACACTGTGATTCATTCATTCATTCATTCCTCTATCATTCATTCAACCAACAAGTACTGATGATTGTTATGATGCCAGGCTGCAGGCAGGTGGAGTACAAAGGTAAGACATGGCTCTTCCCCTTGGGGGGAGCTCTCAGTCCCCTGGGATTGTGTAGGAGACTTTCTCGTACCAACAATGCTCCCCTTTGTGCCATCTTAGCGTCACAAAGACATATGCTGCGAACCTTGCAGGACAGAGAGGGTGACGTGCACAGTCATAAAACTTGATATAAGTGGCAAAAAAAGCATTTGTTGGGATAAACTTTATCAAAAATGCTCTACAAAATATGAGTTATTTGGAATGGCATTATGGGCAGAAATATTAAGAGGCCCTATGGTCAAATATGTTTGGGAAATTCTAGGTTTAAAAAGTTAAATTGTTTCTCCACTGCGGGATTTCCCAGTGTGTGAAAACAGGCACCGTGATTCTGCAGCAGGGAATCATAATATGCTGTATTAAGCAATCTTAGTTGATCATAAAATAATTTTTTAAAAGAGGCCATGTCTGTTCATGTAATGTACTTTGTGTAAAGGTATACTTCCACTTTTCATATTAAAAAACCTAGTTCAAATCCATCACATATGGGAAAAATTGACTTTAACACCACATCTTATTTTAGTTGTCTGTGGTAAGTATATGCTTCATATAAGTAGTTTTGGGGCACACACACCTTAACAGTGGAAATAATATATATATTTGTATATGTGTGTATGGAGGGTGTGCGGAGGGAAGAGAAGAGAAAGAGAGAAGAAGGGAAGAGTGTCCAAATTCCATAAGCATAGGAATATTTGCATGTAATTATTCACGATGCTCATTATGACTAGTTCATCCCATCACTCCAAAGCTGTCTTTTTTTGGGGCCGGGGGGATAGGCAGCACACTGAGGAGAAACTTGTTAAAAAGAAAAGTCGAAGTGAAAGTACGTCCCTACAGGCAGTCAGCACTGTGCACAGGCACCAAGAGTAAGCGGGCGAAGGGAGTGCACCTTCGTAACTTCCCTAGATACACGTGTGCTTTGGAAGCGAGACTCAGCAGAAGGGTGCAGCCGTGGCTCACAGTAAACTTTAAAAAGGAAAACTATGAAAGGTAATTAGGAAATTGAGAACTGTTGGGAGGTGGCGAGGAGCGGGATTAGGCTGTCACGGCAGATTAATGTGCCCCAGGATTTCACTTCTGGGACCTGGCCGAAAGCGACAAGATGGGTTTTCATTCCCCAGAAATGAGTATAAGAGATTATGCTAGAAATGAATAGAAGAAGTCTCCGAGGAGCATATCCCACAAAGCTGCTCGGTGCTGATATTTAATCATCAGGGGCAGCTGTAATAGAGAGGGGGATGAGAGGGGAAGGCTCTCCCTAGAGAAAACGGGAGAGAGGCGTTAACGGAGCAATTTCAAAGCCCTGTGGTATCGCTGCCCTCTCTGCCTATTGATCATTCATGGCACGTACTCCAATACTTAAAAATTAAGAATAAAATATGAAAATGCAAAGGTTCACTTATCAGAAAGGCTAAGAGAATAAATCATACTCTGCTATAACTAAAGTCACAACTTTTTATTGTAGAGGCATTTTGCATTTTATATAGTAATTTGTCCCTTGCTAAATGTCTTCTGTTGTTTTATAGCCTTATATATGAAAAAAAGGTAGCATATGCTTTGCTTTACATAATAATTGGTGCATTTAAATTCCATTTCCAAATTACTTGAAAGGTTGAAACTAGACTGTGAATTCTTTAAGGGAAGGGACTGTTTGCTATACTTCTTTATTTCTCCCACAATGCCTAGCCCAGCACCTTGCACACAGAAAACATGCAATTATTGGGAAATATAAAAAGAAATAAAGATGTAGATTTCTTCCTAGGGATTTTCTAAACAATGGCACACTTACTGAATAAATCTTATTCTAATCAATAAAAAGATAGTTCTTTCACCATGTTGTAAAAGGTCCTACCAGCATTCATTGTCCAAGGAAATTTTAACTGAGGTTGGGTGGTGGTGGCCCTCCGAGTCCTAAGTTCAAAGGTGACTCCACGTGATAGAGGTGGGCTGATGGATGTCCCATCCCTTAATCATCTTGAGGAAACGCATCGGGTCAACTACGAACAGGCAGATTTGATCACATAGTATGAGGACGCAAACATAAATAAAATAACAAAACTGAGTTCTAGTACCAGTGACTTAATACCTATCTAGCAGTTTTTGAAAACTGTTTAATCTTATGCAAGTAACCTAAGATGTGAGAATCTCCCTTTCTTGAGGTGTTGAAAAAGAAGACTACCAAAGTCTAGTTCAGTCTATGATTTTTTTACAGCTCCACATCTTGGTTTGCAGAGTATCAACTATATTTTAGTTTTCCAGAGCTCACATATATGGCAAGTCGGCCAAGAAACTGAAAAGTCAAAGCCCCGAATAAATATCACTGAGTCATGGAAAGGAGTGTGATGCCGTGTTAGAGGCTGGCTTTTGGAATCAGATAGCCCAGGCCTGAACACCACTCTACCGCATTCTGGAGTGTGCGGCTCCGTTCCTCCGTAAAACGGAGACAAAAACGCCTCCCCTAACGGAGAGGTGGGTGAGTGCTTGACATAGTAAACAAGTACATTGTAATTCTTCTCATTGTCTCAGGGACTGCTAATTGCAAAGAACGGAAATAAATTAGAACCATCTTCCTGGAAATTAAAAAAAAGACTAAATGATACCAGCAACTCTGAGGGAGCCTAATTATCATAAGTATGGGTGAGTCTTCTGGAAAAAGGAGTAGAGATGTGTAAAGCCAGGAATCGAGTCCGCTTTTTCTCTATTTCTCTAGGGTTTTACAATCTCTTATTTCTGCTTCTCTCCAAATATCTACTTTCTTGTTTTCTCTCTGCACACTGCTCTTATCCCCTTGGCCTGTGGTCATGCCAGGTTTCCCGAAATGGCAGCCTCAGCTCGCAAGTCTGCAGCTTGGATGTCAACAACTAACTCAGTTAGTAATCCAACTATTTGGAGGGTAATCCAACTCCGAATTCCTAAGAGAGAAAATATGACTAAATGGGTTCTGAACAGCTGTGTACTCTTGGTCCAAAGAGCTGGAAGGTCAACTAGCAAGAAGAACCGCCTCTCTCAGCGTGACAGACAGGCTGTTGGGGAGAGGACATCAGTACTGAAGTACAAGTAGTGTGCACAGGATGCTTAAAAGAACCCAGCAGGTGCTCATGCTTGTTTTAGAAGCTCTAACACATTTATCTCTTCTTTATGCATAATTGGCAGAATGGTAGGGGGCTGGAGTAGGGGTGCTAGAGAAAGACACAATGATGTCATTGCCCTCAGAGAGAAAGACATCCTGAAAAAATTAATAAAATGCAGATACAGGAACTCAAACATAAGGAACTGTCAGACCCTATAATGAAAGTATATCAGTTCACACTTCAAGCAGGCCCCAGGGTTTGAAGACAACATCAAACCTATGACTATAAAAACTGGGCTTTATAATAATCTAAAAAATGGTTATACTTAATTAAAAAATCAGAAAAATTTATGGAAACGCTGTGGTAAAATAATTAAGATCTCATCCATTTACACATTCATTATTCATTCATTCACTCAGCAAACATTCACTGTATGTTTATTATGCTCCTGATACTTCTTTCACGTCATCAGAACTCAAGAAGAAAGGGACACACACTTGTTAATCAGCAATTAAAATAGAGTGAGATGCGCACTTTTAAAAAAGCACAGCCTGGGCACATAAAATGGACAAGGGGAAGGTGCAGCAGGCATAGAACCCCGGGCATAGTGCTTGCGGGGGGAAGAAGGAGAAGAAGAGCATTCCAGGCAGGGAAACAACACCAGGGAGCAGAGAGAAGTGGACTAGTTAGATCCCACTGAGCACTTCAAGTATCTGGAATGTGGACAGACACCTGGGTTGGGGTGGGATGAAGGGAGTGGTGCCGGACCAGAGATGGGCAGGAGACCGATTGAAAAGCGCCCTAAAGGGCTAAACTAAGGAATTTGAACATTATCCTTAAAGCCAAGGAAGCCAGTGGATGGCTGTTGAGCACAGGAGTGAGCCGATGAGCTTTGTGAATTATGAAGACTATTCTGGAGTGCCGAGGCAGTAGGACTGGAGGAGGAGAGTTGGGCTGCTCGATGAAGCAACCCAAGAGAGATGCAAGAAGCAGTGGTGACTTGAGATGTCAACTTTAGGGTGCCAAGGAAGGAGTCTGGGTGACTTGTGGATTTCTGGCGGTGCTGGTCACTGAGATAGAGAACAAGAGACAGAGGACAGAGGGAAGCCTGAGGCTGATGTGTCTGTGAAACTTCAATGGGAGGTGCCCCTCGAGCAGTTGGGATAAGTGTCTGGGGAGAAGCAGAGAAGGATGGGTCCAAGGTCTGGTTTGGGGCTGATCAGCGTAGGGTGTGGCCTTGCACGAAAGGTTGTGGATAGCAGGAGAGGGACAGGACATCAAGAGTGCTGGCTGCGACAGCAGGGGGAGCCCTTGAAGTGCACTGAGAAGAAAGGCTAGAAAAGTAGGTGAAATACTATGTCTGGGAGACAATGGAAGGGAGAGTTCTAGGAGGGAGGGAACAGAAAATGGGTCTCCTGGGAAGAAGGGTCAAGAGAGAAAGACAATAAGAGTGCCCAGCAGCTCTAGGAAAAGGGGCCATTGGTGGCATTACTGAGGGAAGTTCCCCTGGTGAGGCAGAACTAGAAGGCACTTGGGAGGGCAGCGGTTGGGGAAGTGAAAGCAATGAACCTTCCAAGAAGACTGACTGGAGAGGAAGGAAGAGAAACAGAACAGAAGCTAAAGGGAGAAGTGGGCATTGGAGTGGGCTTTGTCAGGAAGTGGGGGAACTGTTCATTTTAATAAGATGCTGAGAGCTAGTGGAAAAGGGAAGGGAGATACAGGGAAGAGAGAGAGGAAGATTAATAGAGCAAGGTCTCAGAGGAGGGAGCAAGAAAGGGATCCAAAGCCGGGATGGAAGGATTAGCATCAGACTAGAGGAAGGACAGCCTTTTCACTGAGATAGGAGGTTAGGAGGAAAGGATGGGGCCAGACAGATAAGTGTGTACGTGGCAGGGGAGGAAATTGAGGGAGTGCTCGATTGATGGCCTCAATTTTCTCCGTGAAGGAGGAGGCAAGGTGATCTGCTGAGTAGAGCAGGGGAGGTGGAGGACAGGAGGTGGTTAGGAGGGGAGCATGTGCCGTATATAGAACCGCTGAGAGCAGTGGGGGGGGGGGGTGGGGTGCGGAGAACTGGCCAGGGACACAGAATCTGGGAATACCAAGCATGCTGCTCAGCTGGGACACTATATATTTGGCATATCTCAAACTCGCACAACTGTGATACTTTCTACTAAAGCCTTTGTAAATCTAGCAGAGTAGCACAAAACTGAATTGTTAGATTGAACTGAGGCTGAGGTTTTGCAGAGTGGATGTCACAGAAAGTGAAGAGAGTCAATAAATTTTAGGATATTGAGAAGGGAGGGTTGAAGTGATGGGCTATAAGATCCAGGATGGATAAAGAAGGGTACGCACTCAAAGTTCATTTGCTAGATCAGGAGCAAATGCAAGTGGCCAGGACTCCAAGGCATCAGTTGGTAGGTGTTTTGGGGAACGGAAAAAACGGTGGTCTGTTGATGTTTCCTACTATGGAGCTGCACCTGCTCATGGGGGCTTTGAAATCAGTCATCTGAAAGTTAATCTTACCACTCTGTTGAAGCCTTCCTTAATGTCTCCTCCACCCCCAAACTCTTTTCTCCAGCCTCTGAACCCACACCATTTTGCTTGCCGACAGGTAGTAGGACATTAAATCTGGGCCCTCACTGTAATGTAAGCCTCAGGAGTTCCACACCCATAGCCTACGGCCCTGGGCTGCAGTGGGAGCCACAGAGCAGCAGCTCTCTTGAACCGGCCGTCTGCCGAGGGACAGACTGCTCTGCCCGTGCACATCACGTGCCCACACATCCCCAGTCTCAGCGCGGTTCCTTTTCTGTTCCCCCCTTGCTGCAGGACAGCAGAGGCCATATTCCAGCGTGACGCTTTCCTTCACTGCAGTTTATGTGACATCCAACATCAAAAGAACCTGTAAGGGAATCTATTGGGGAAGGAAGAGATATTTTGCTTCATAAAATTTAAAATTTCCTCAGTCCAATTTTCTTTTAATGGTCTCAAAACCAGATTTTAGAGTACCAAGTCCAAAAAGCTTAAAATGCCATGAAAGCCAATATGTTGGGAGGGAAAAAAAACAGGTGTTTAAAATCTGTGCTTTGTTATCCGACTGAAGTCAACGGAGACAGACCAAATCAACAAGCATGACAGGAAGGGCAAATCTGCAATTAAAAGAAGAATAGGGAATTATAAAGATGGATGGGCCCCATGACATGTGAGCCCAAGCCTGCGTGGCCTTGGCCTCGGATGCCAGAAATTAATGCTTTACTGTTTAGCATTGGTCACCTTTGCTCTGGACGGGAAGGCAAAGGCATTAAAATAACAACAATTAGAACACTTACTTAGCTTGGAAGGCATTGTTCGTTCCCCTGTGGTCGAGGTCATGACACAGGCATCCCACAATCACCGCCAAGATTTCCACCTCGTTCAGAATCTCTTGAAACCCGGCGGTCTGGGAAGGAGACAAGATGGCAGCAGTCACAGCTCAGGGCACGGAGGATGGATACGGCTTGTCTGCTGAGCAATCACCAGTTCTGTTTTCATACCCACATCATTCAAGGGAATGATTAACTGCCACCCCCTTAGACGACGGTGAGTTGGGTGGTCACTTGCACAGACTAAGGTCCCTGCAGTGGCGAGCTATCTCCGTGTCACAGGGGGCTGCGCAGGCCTGCAGGAACACAGTTCAGACTATTTTGTTCCCTTTTAGAGAAGAGGTTGCACTCCCCAGACACAGTGACAGTGTGACAAAGGCCCAGAGCAAAACGTGAGTTTTTGTGAGCTCTGTGACTCTGCATCTCAGCAACCTGCATATAGTGGGAGGGAAGGGGGCCTGAGAACTTAGAGCTGAATGTTATATCCATCAGATACCGCTCAAAGGAAAGCCTGCTACAAAAACACCCATTAACCCCCTCAATATATATTTTCAATCTTCACCCAAGGATATGTTTATTGATTTTAGAGATAGGAAGTGGGAGAGAGAGAAACATCGATATGTTATAGAAACACCTATTGTTGCCTCCCATACTGGGGATCGAACCTGCAATATTTTGGTGCATGGGATGGCACTCCAACTAACTTAGCAGCCTGGCCAGGGTCCCCTTAATATTAAAAGAAGCAACTTAGTAGTACTGAAATTGTTACCTGATAATATTCTAGAAGTTAACCTGTAATATTCCAGAATTAGCTTGAAGAACCAATTAAATTCTTACAGATAGCAAAGCAGTGCATATCTCAAAAACTAGAATCTGGCAGAGGATTTGGTGACCCAGACTGAGGATCAGGTGAAGTATCACTGGAATTCTTTGTTTTGTTACCCTCCGGCAGCTCACCTGCGCAGTGCACAGGTGTGGTGCGGTTTCTTTGGGGGGTGGTGTGAGGTCACCTTGTAACCCAACGCCGCAGCGGCTCTTCAGTCCCTGCTGTCCCTTCGTTAGCTTAGAAGAGCAAGCAAACCTCTGAAAAAGCAAGTCTATGCATTTTCTTGATCCAAGGCCTTCATGTCTCCCCCGTTTTGCTTTGTCGGCCTCCCACTGGATTACTTGCACTGAAACCTGTATCAGAGGGCAAGAGGAGCGGCTGGGGGGGCGGGGGGGGGGCTGGGCTGCTTCCCCCTTTCACCTGTGTTTCCACAGACCCAGGGTCACTGGAGTATAGCCATAAGGCACCTACTTCTCTTACAGCCACGCAAAGTTTGTTTTTTAATTAATTATGTTTTTAGTGCAGAAGTAACTAAATGATAAATTCCAGTGTTGAAATCCAGTGTTGAAAATTTTAATTTTAAAATTTAAATTGGGTCCACTGCTACATTTGGAAAGACATGCAATTTAATTTGCCCAGTAAGTGGGAACGTGAATAAGGTGTCTGGGGAGGGATGAACCAGCCCGTGTCGAAGCTGTGTGCACTTTCATTAAACTTTGGAGTTGGCTGTTGGTGTTAAGTTAATTTTATTTTACCTAAAGTATTACATGCAATAGTTTTTAAAAGTTCAAATAGTTTTTAAGAGATTTAGAACCAAAATCAGTCGTTCCTCAGCCTTTTCCTTGATTTCCAAAGTCGACCACCTTCCATTTTCTTCTTTGTCTAATTTGGTAGGTATTTTACACCACATTTCTATGTAGATTTTTATATTACTAACACTTAGTTATTCATCAAGCACTTACAGTTTTTCCTGGGTGCCTTGCACAGTTCTATGAGATTTGCAGCTGTTTAACTTATTTCATTCTCCTAAGAGACCCATGGGGTGGGAGCTATTATTATCCCCAGGTGCAGGTGAGGAAACAGGGCCAGACATGCTCTGTGCCCAGGGCCTCGTACACTCTGTAACCAGTCACTGCAAAGCTACCTAGTATCTGGTAGTTGTTTCTTGTGCAAATGTTTTCATTTCCTGGAGTTAAGATTTCATTGAACATCTAAGTCTTCTCACATCCCACACAGCCCTGCAAAGAGGTACAGCGAACATTTGTTAGATCCCTTGCTGTCCTGGGGACTCCCTGTCTTCTCCTGGCTCTTCTCTTTGGTCTGGATTCTGTCTGCTGCCAGCTTCGTCTCCCGGGGTCCCTCTCCCACCTCTACACCCTGTAAGTCTTTCCTCACTTACTCCCTCGGTTTGCGGAACACATCCGCCAGAAGCTGCATGGGGAAGGGTGTTCATTTTTTAACACTAGGGAGTTACCGGGTTGTTTTTTTTTTTAAACAATTGCATGACTAATAATGTCTTTAATCTATTCTTTTACACAATTGGTTAGCTTGCCTAACAATTTTTGTGCAACATTTTCACCAAGCATTTTGAAGTTCTGCCCCATTGTTCTCTTAGTTCCAAAGTTAGAGAACTATGTAATTCTTTTCCCTGGTACTTTGAGTGGTACTTGATCTTCCCTCTTCTGGAATCCTCTGTCCCCGGGGTTTGGCAATTTCACAAAGGTTTGTTTTGGTCTGGGGCTTTTCCCCGATTTTGCTTGCTCAGCCTTTTCTTCAGTACAACATTCTTGTTTATGTTTTTCTGAATAATTTTCTCTTCACCATTTTTTTCTGTCCTATTTGACTGCAACTCCAGCTGGGCAGACATTGGACTTCTTGCACTGATCTCCTTGTTTTGTCTTTTCATTTCCACTGCTCATGCTGACTTTTTCTCTCGTACTCTCTAGGAGTAACAATATTTTTCATTTATAAGCATTTTCTTGTCTGCGCTCCTTTTCTAATAGGATGCTTTTCTTTTCTCATGATTGCATTATTGTCTCTTGTTTTTTGAGGATATTAATTATAATTCCTCTGAAATTTTTCTGCTCCCCAATGCCAGTTTCCTCTGAGCTCTGTCTCCCTGTGTTCCTCAGGTGCCTGGTAGTTCACTCACAGGAGTGAAGCGTCGCAGTGCTCACCAGGTGGCCATGCATGAGCCCGGTGTCTGCCGGCAGCTGGGCCCTTACCACGGAGCGTGCAGAGGGAGAGCCGGTCTTTTGCTAGAGATCCTCCATGTGTCAGGGGCTAAATTCACTTCCGCTGGACTTTCCAATCTCTTGTTTGGTAATGGCATAAACACAGCTGTTGGCGTTCTAAGAAAGCAAAATGTAGCTTCTCACCTTTGTGGATATAGACTTCTACTTAATTCTCTTATTTTGTTGGGGTTCAGTTTCCCCAGCAAACACTCTGGTTTCCTGAGTAGGTGAGGGGGAGAGTAGCCTTGAAGACATGGAGAGGGGATGGGGCCTTGGGGACTCAGAGTTTCTGTCGTCCTCTCACCCCCTCGCCCCATTTCTGTGGCATCTGATGCCTCCACTTCCTGAGCTCTGGCAGCTTCCAGGGGACATTGTTTCTCATGGGCCCCCTTCCTGTACCCACTTACCTGAAAGGCACTGGGGCTGGCCTTTCCTCTTCTCTGCTAAGCTGTGAACCCTCCTCCCTCCATTTTCTGCCTTTACCTATTATGGTTCCATGAAAGGCAGAATTTCTCTCTGTTCCTTGTTCTCCAGTTATTTGGGAGTGATTTTGAAAGGCAAAGGGGATTTAAACATCTAAAATCCCTGATTTAGGGGATTCTCTGTCATCTTGCAACTGTAAGTCAGTTTAGTTGGGTTTGGATCTTGCTAACGCTCAGTAAATCCTGACAGTCTATCAAGCATGAAACAATTATTCATGATACTATGGAAATTGGTGCCGTAAACAAAGATGAAACAGCACAGAAATTTAGAAAGATTTTGCCTGTGAAAGTGCTATTGACTAGAACTAGCTGATGAATTAAAACAGTAAGAATAAGAATGGGATAATCTTAAATAAACTAAGGTAATGTGACTAGAAATTTATGAAAAGTCACAATTGAATGCCATCTAATGCACTCAAGATCAAAATCCCTTGTTATTTTTCAGCTATCAGTTATCACCCATCATATCACGTGATGGAATATATTTTACTATAATGCTCTATGTAGCTATCTTCCTTCCCACTCTGGCCCCTTCCTGAAAGTCCAGCATCTCATTCTTAAACTACTTGTTTCATGGATACTTTTGAGAATGTGATGAAAGCCATGAACCCTCTTCCTAGAAATTTTTCTATGAAATTATACTGTTCCAAGACCATGGAGCCCACCTCTGAGTCCTCAGAATAAAGAAACCCGGAAGCACGGCACCCGCCCAGACACACAGAACAGATTCGCCTCTCTGGACTGTGACACCTGGTTACTGAAGCAGCGCCTGTCTCCTGACTGTGATTTAGGGCTGCCTGGTAAGCGGTTTCTGAGAGTCGTCAGGCCTGAGGAATGTCTACCTGTCACTGTGTCCATTTGCTCCTCCCCTGCCTGCCCCTCTTCTGTCCAGTCCTATCCATCCCGACCTACACTTGCATTGAGGAGAAAAAGTCCACTGCCTGCTGAAGACAATGTGCTTGCAGAAGAGAACAGAGAAATCTAAAAAAAAACCCAACAAAATAAGTGAATAAACAAAACAGAAACAGACTTAGAGCTATAGAGAACACAGATGGGAGGAATGTTGGGGGGCTGGGTGAAGAAGGTGGAGGGATAAGAACTGCAGACTGACAGTTACACAATAGTTACGGGAGGTAAAGTACAGCACCGGGCATGTAGTCAGTAACATTGCGATAACCATGTATGGTGATCACTTTGTAAGTCATATAAATATCTAAGCACTATGCAGTACACCTGAAGCTAATATAATATGGACTGTCAACTGTAATTGAAAAATTAAAAAATGTAAAAGATGCACTGAATAAAATGCCGGGAAGCAAAAAGAGAACTGAGTGGCAGCAGGAAGCATTTTTAATGCATTTTATTATATGCTTGACTCTATTTTGTTCTTTATTTTCAAATAAAATGATATCTTTTCTGCTCCTGATCCAATAATTATTTATTATAATCTATCTTCTCACCTGTATCCCTTCATGGTTCACTATGAGAAATGTACATTGTGAATATAAGATATTCAGATAAAGAGACTGTCAGGG